AATAGCTGTTCTTTGTGTAAACTGGCCTGCATGTTTTTTTTGCAGAAGTTATTAACTAGAAACATGAGGGGTTTTATAAAATAAAATCTGTAATACAGAACATAGTAATATATATATATATATTATTTATATATATATATATATATATATATATATATATATATATATATATATATATATATATATATATATATATATATATTTTTTTTTTTGGCAGGTATTTTGGTTCCAGTACAGAGTTCTCACAGTTTGGGAAGGTTATACACACATTTCTTCTTGAACTGGTGATCCTATCTTCACTGCCTGTGCTAATACAATTTCTCCCACTTTCTTCATCACTCATGTTCAGCAGAGGTTGCATAAAATATTTGGTTTTGCTCAGATCTCTTTACTAGTTCATAGATCTTCTGAGGTCCGAAGAGCTCAGTTTGGGCCACCACAAGGTGCCATAACTAAACAGACATGCTCTTAGTCTGTGGTGTCTCCCTTATATATATGTATATATACATATGTATACATACATATGTATATATACATATAAGTATGTATATATATATATATATATATATACACACAGGAAGACTGATGCTGGCCTTATCTCCTTTTTCATGATTTCAGAGTACTTCCAGTTGAGAATCTCTACTACTGTTTGCATCATTGCTTCTCTTCTCCAGGGTGAGCAGAAAGCTGCTGCTGTCTGTCTTTTCCCTTTGGGTAGGCAGACAGCATTTTGCAGTCTAGGGCGCTTCCTCCCTTACACATGTTTCTGGAGAGTTTACATGTGATCTGCATGCCTCCAGTTCTTTATAGAGCTGCCTCAAATGAAAATGCATGTTGAAAAGGGTGAGAGTGGGGAGTATGCAAAATTATTTTGTTAGTGCTAATGTAGTCAATGACATAGTCAGACTGCTTTGCACTCCCACAAAATAGTGTTTGAACACCATAAGGAGAGCTTTTCTCACTGATCTGCTAGATCACTGGTGTGTCAACAAAGCCGATACCCAGGACTACTGAACAAGCTTGTTCTAAGCAGTAGGCAGTACACTCAGAAAGACATCTGGTCTATATGGAATATATTGAAGTAACTTTCTGTCATTTATACCGTTCTACCCTGCTTAAATAACTTGCAGCAAAGCCTCACAGCTCTGTTTATCCTTGCACTGAAATAAATTGTAAATGTGTGTGTTGAATGCAATACTTCAACCAGCAGAGGGCAATGGGGGGAGGAGAGGGGGGCGTGGAAACTGACTCATTTTTAAAATAATTTCTTTTCAGAGGCTTTTGTAACAGTCTTTCTTATACATACCCACTTTTTTGTATATAGTCATAGAATAAATTTCTGGGAGACTTATTAATTATTAAGTTAGTATGTAAATATGTTAATTAAGATGCTTTTGTGCTATGTGTCATACAAAGAATGGAAAATGGTCTATGCTTCAAAGAATGCATGAGATCAAAAGGGAAACCACACAAGCATAAAGAAATCTAAAGTAACAAATTATCTTTTATTTCTATGCTTGCAAATAATCATTTTCCTCCCTTTCAGGTGCCTCTTGCTCCTTTAGATTAGAATCCAGAAGAATTTAGAACTACTCTCTGTACTTTGGCTTTGCCTTTTGCATTTGTCATTCCCTGAGTAGCAAGGGGCACAGTCTTTTTTATTTCTCTGAGGAACAGCAAGTATCAAAGTTCATCTAAATTCCATCCTTGTTAAGCCAGTGTGATCTGGAAGGCTTAGTACAGAGCTGGGAATTAGGAGTCCATGCTTCTTATTCTGAGTCTGATTTACTGTGTGGCCTTTGGCAACTTCTGTTCTGTGCTTCACTTCCCTTGTTTCAGAGATGAAAATGATATTTTCTTAGCTCTCTGAGGTATTGTGAGGTTTCATTTGCTGATACTTATAGAAGTCTTTGAACACATAATGCAAAATGCTGTGAATTGATTTCTGGCACTCTCTGTTGCCAATGAGATTGAACTCATATTTTATAACTTTGTGGATTTGTTTTACAAGAAATAATGTTTGCATTCAAGTGTTTTTCCCAAACTTGCCAGCACAAGAGACCTCATCAAAGAGCATGTGCTCTTTGACATGTCTGCTTAAATCTGGCACCTTTGGGCACTGACACCCTTTGATGAAAAAGATGCATTTGCCTGAATCAGATAGAATGTAGGACTGATGAACCACAACATGAGAATGAAGTAGATGAAATCTGAATTTTCAAAACAACTTTTTTTTTTTTTTAATCTGTTCATCAAAGAAGTAAACAGTACAGAAAAACATTGCCACTTCAATTCAATATGAATTATACTGAAGACAAAAAACAGGCCACAAGCAAAAGCCCAAAGTGTTAACATTACTGTGAATGAAGTGATGTTTGCAACTTTTCTTCCCAGCACTGCATTTCCAGCTGCAAACAGCATTCCAGTGGGGCAGCAATGTAGTATCTCCCCTGTTTTGTCCTGCCTCACATTGTTGTAATTTTAGTTACAACTGTAGTAATCCCATGCAGAAAGTTGAAATGATAAAGATCTGGACAGTTATTATCTTGCAGTGCTAGATAAATAATTACTTGAGCATGTAAGTTTTATCACCCAAACAGACTGTAAATATAAATAATATGTTTCCTTTAAGCTTTTGATTTACAAGCCTAGCCTTTCAGATATCTAAGTTCACAGCTAAGAAAACGTGAAATTCTGTATTCAGGGTGAAAATAAAAGAAATTAATACCATGGGAGATGTTCTCCAAGGGCAGCAAAGAGCTTTGCAGAGGGAATTTAACTTGTATTTACAAGCTCCTGATAGATATCTACATGTATAGAGAGAGGTTTATATATATATATAAAAGATTAAATTTCTACAAGCTATAGTATTTACATTCATGTCTGCATATTAGAAGAACATCTATGTTGGTACAGCATGTGTTTTAGAATAAATTTGTAAGCCCATATCAGAAACAAGTTTGTTGATAAAATCACCTTCTCTTAGAGGAATTGAAGGCCACCTCATTCTTCCCTCTCCCTTTGCCCTAAATTGCCCCCAAATGTCTAAACCTAGCCCTCATGAAGCCCTCATGATCCAAACTTAGTTCCTACTAAAGCTTTAGGAAAGTCATGAGTGGGTATTGTGTTAATTTGGATCACTACAGTCTGAGAACAAAGGTGTGATCCATTCTGAAGAGCATCCAGAGAACAGAAAGAAGGGTGCTTACAGAAGTTCTAAAAATGGCAGCAAAAGATACCGACCTGTGAAGTTCTACAGTCTGAAAACAAAACAGAGTAGAGATGTAATAACAATCTTTACATATTTGAAGTATTGTCACTGGGAAAACCTGTTCTTCATTGTTGCCTGTGTTCCAGGAAAATAAATAAATAAATAAATAAATAAATAAATAAATAAATAAATAAATAAATAAGAGAGAGAAAATAGCAAAATGGAAGTAGATCAGACATTCAAATTCCCTTCCAAGATTATTCAACACTGTGGTACATTTAAGAGAAGCATGATGTTTTCACCTTTAACAGATTTTAAAATGCAAACAATGACTTACTCGTAGTTTTTCTGTAATTGGGTTGGTATAAAGACAAGCAAGACAAAATTTGTGAAGTAATATTCTTCAACCGATGTAGCTGGGAGATGGACACAAACTTTCAAGTGCACCATCCTTCTTAGGATCTGAAAAAACATCTGATCTCAAAAACTTATGTGCCAGAAATGTTAGTTTAATAAGAGAATGGCTTAATTCTAGGCAATTCCTTTTTAGATTTGGACAAACTCTTGAGGTCCTTTCTAATTTTTTTCTGCAGCATTTTGTGATCGATTTAATATATCTAAACTAAGCATAGTGCTATATTTTGGCACAGTAAGGAGACTTTGAATCTTCATCCGGATTGGTATGATGAATGAAATATTGTTTACAGCAGAAGAATCTTTGGTGTAAAATGAATTGTAGTGTTTTCTTACAGGAATTACTATGCTATTTCAGGAAAGTATTGAGCATGATTTTTTAGAGTTTTTGGTGAAAGGCAATTGATTGCTACAACCTCTCTGGGTCTTACTTCCAAAGTTCTTTAAAAATGTTTTTAGTCTAGTTTCTCAGACTCAATTTTTGCATTTTTAACTTATGAATTTATTGCATCCATGTTAAAGAAGTAATTTGTCCATGGCAGGAGGGTTGGAACAAGAGATTCCAACTCTAGGAGCTCTTAAAGGTTCCTTTCAACCCAAGCCATTCTATGATTCTGTGATTTGCTTCATTTGTAAAAGCCTGTCAAATAATAAATAAATAAATAAAGAGGGGGAAAGAAATTATATAAAAGCTTTAAGGTACATCCTTTAGAGTGCCTGCTACATACTGGTTTTGGTCACAACAATCATGGTCAAAAATACACTACATTTAAAATAGGTTGAGCTTAATACTGCAAAAATTACATTCATTTGCTTCCCTCAAATCACAGATACCTCTTTCACAGGCAAATGTTACACGTTCTCTGCAGATGCAATAGATATAGCATTCCCAGCAACATATTTTATAAAATGGTTGTTTTCTTGATACAGTTTACAAGACTCCATATGGTAGCAATTTGAATTAAGCATCACACTGTCATAAAAAAATAAATAAATAAATAAATAAATACAGCTTTCACAAATGTAGATGTGTATTTCCATAGAACAGAGCCAATGGGTTAAAATAGCAGAAAGATGTGTGAATAGTTAGTGAAGATAGTACTTGAAGTACTGTAAACTGCATAATATATCAGATTATTTCCTGTGTTGTGGTCTGCAGAAAACTACTCTTTGTTTACTGAGAATCTTTCTACACGTACCATTTTGTTTCCACTCTAAAAGAAAACACATGGTCTCCACAATGAACTGCATATTCAAATACTCTTTATTAAACAAAGGATGCAAACATTTCCTTGTTTCTGCAAAGAGAAGTGATTTTGTGTTGAAGCATCCCCTAAGTCATTTCCAGCTCACTAATTTTTCTTTCCAAATTCAGTTTGCATTGCAGTGTGGAAGAATCATCACATGCGGACAGTCACCAACTATTTCATAGTGAATCTATCTCTGGCTGACATTCTGGTCACAATTACGTGTCTTCCAGCAACCTTAGTAGTGGACATCACAGAAACTTGGTTCTTTGGGCAGCCCCTCTGCAAAGTGATTCCATACTTACAGGTATTATTTTATTGTGTTTGTGTATACACTATCCATGTTATGAAAAACAGAAAGAGCAATATCATCTTCCTAATGGTGATTATGTGACAAAAATTCGTCACTGCTATACTGATGTAGATACCTCAGGTTACCTATAGAGGATTGAAGGACTGTTCCACTTATGAATATGCTTGTGCTTAAGAAATGTTGTTCTTGTTAGACTTGGGCAATGCACTTTCTTAAACGTTTGTCTTATGCCGTTCACGTTGTGTGATCTTTTTTAATAATTCAGAAGACATACAAAAGAAGAAATATGTCTGGACATAGAATTACATACAGAAGTATTCTCTCTGTATGTGTACCTAAACAGCTACTCAGATGTCCAGGATGGAGAATCCGAACTTTTGAAGATCTCTGAGTGGAGTCCATGCCTTCATATGTGTTTAGTGACTTATTTTGCACTCTTTAAAAATAGTCATCTTGTCCTGGTATAATGGGAGCTGATCAGATTTTCTGCCTTATTTTCTCCTTACCAGTGGACTTAATTAGTTATGAGATCATTTGCATAAAAAACATTTTACAGATACCTTTTGTAGGTATAGCAGTTCACTTGAGCTCACTGGGCATACTATCATGACAATTTGCTTGGTCTTTCAGTCATTATAAATCAAAAGAATTAAGTGGAAAACTCTGAAAGTATGCAGGTGATCATCTTTGTGCACCCAGCACAACCCGTATTTTCAGCAGAGATCTATGCATTCAGGCTGAAAAGCTACATTGTCAAGAGCAACAGTCCTTCAGCACATGTCTTCTATTGGATAGTATAAAAATCACAAAACTTGTTTCAAAGCCTCCATTCTAGCACCAGAAATTCTGAAGAGAAATTGAAATGATAACTGAACAATAAAACAAAAGTGATGCTATTTCCTACAATGAATAAGACATTAAAATGGCATAGTCTAATTTAAATTGATTGCTTTTTTTTTTTTTTCATGAGATTCTGATTTTCTGTTGTTCCTTTGAAAACTGAAAAGGCAAAATGTTGGTGCTGATATCCAAATATAATAGAGAAAAACTTTCTTTTTTTAACTTGCTCTACAAAGAAAAAAAAAATCTGATTTGTTGACTGTTTTAGAAGTAATCTTTCAGATAAAGTTATGCAAATTCTAAGATGCATAAGTTTGTTCTTTAAGAATATGATTCTGTTACTCCTACTCACTTTCAGTAGCACCCTAGTCTGTGAATTGGTTCAGACTAGATATAAGGAAAAAAATTCTTCACCATGAGGGTGGTCAAACACTGCAACAGGCTTTCTAGAGAGGTTATTGTCGCCCCATGCCTGTCAGTGTTCAATAAATACTTGAATAATAATTATATGCTTTGAATTTTGGTTAGCAAAGTTACCTGAAGTGGTCAGCAAGTTAGACCTGATGATCTTTGTAGGTCCCTTCCAACTGAGCTATTTTATTATATAATTTCACTCAATTCTACAGCAGATGATATCTGTTGTAATTCCATAGGAAGCAATTAAAACTGAGACTTTTTCTGAAAATAATTTCTATTTCATAATTTCAAATAATAAACTATGCTGAAAATATAAAGAATTTTTAAAACTCAAAAATTACAAGAAATCACTTTTGAAACAGAAAAATTACATTTACATTGACATAATATTTCCTTCTCTTTAGACAGTTTCAGTCTCTGTGTCTGTACTAACACTTAGCTGCATTGCTTTGGATCGATGGTATGCAATTTGTCACCCTTTGATGTTTAAAAGCACAGCCAAGAGAGCAAGGAACAGCATTATAATTATCTGGATTGTGTCCTGCATCATAATGATTCCTCAGGCTATTGTTATGGAGTGCAGCAGTGTGTTCCCAGGATTAGCCAATAAAACCACCTTGTTCACAGTGTGTGATGAGCACTGGGGAGGTGAGTGTGTCATTGATCATAAAGACTGAATTTTTCCTGCTGTTATGTAATAAAAATATCAGGACATTTTAATATGCAGTCAAGTATATAAACATATCAAGAATGTTCTTAATTACATAACCTTTCATAGAACTACTCTTTTTCAAACACTGCAAAATTATATTTTCTTTTATACAGCTAAGACTAAAAATGCATTTAAAACCAAGTTTAAAAGAATGAGCCTGACTTATGTCTTGGTCATGTTAATGTTTCCCAGAGGATGAAAATGTTCCCATCCTTAAATGCTTATGATTATATAATTCTCAGTGATTGATGGATATTGCAGGTTTACAGTATTTAGTCTTCAGAAATAACTACACAGGAACAGAACTTCTATTTACCTGCTACACTGATTTTGCTAATTGGTGGTATTTGATTAGGTCCTTATTTGTATCTCCTGGGACTTCAGTGCAATTTGCATGTTATTACAGAATTTACAGAGGTGTCATGGATATGGGGTAGCAAGTTAGTCTACAATTTGAAATTTGTCATGGACAAGATCATTTAGATAACTTTAAAATTGTAATTGGTTACAAATGATTCTATCCAACAAGTATAATTCTGCCTTTCCAGATTAACTCTGAATCTAACTTTTTCTGTATTTGAATTCCACTGTAAGAAGTCATAAGGGTTGCCATGAGTAACTGTTTCTATTTTGACTGAATTCACACAGCAAGTCATGTTAGCCACTCACGTGAATGGTTAAGATTCAACTCTGGTGGGCCTTGGCATAACTCCAGTGCTAATAGAGCATATGAGTTACATGCTGTGACTCTGACACTGGATATAATGACCATCAGTAATACCATTATTCAAACACAGAAAAATAAAGCCAAGTTTGCCAAAACATATAACGAAAAGGTGGTTGTTTCATAGCCTCAAGTCATTCTAAAATACAATCAGATTCTCCATCAGTTCTGTGTCTGTAGAAGATTCTAGTGCTGTGAACAATTAAGATAAAATACAATTGGATCACCTGTACTTAATTATTATGATAAATTAGTTCAAGCAGCTTGAACTGCTGAGGGTTCTTCCATGTGCTGTTCTGGAAGTTCCTCCCTCTGCAGGGCCACTGGGGGATTAATGAGAAGATGTTGGCTATCATATTCCCTCATCCTGCTTAGTCCCCTGGGACAAGGCAATGAATGGGGGCAGAGATGTCCATTAGCTGGCTGGCACTGATTCCAGACAAAGATGTGCTGAAAATTTGTAGGTTTCAGGAACCCCCATTAAGCTGGAAGCATTGTAGTTGCTGTTTTGTTGGAGAGGACACATCTGTTCTTTACTTCTAGTGTTCTCTTTTCGTCTGTGAACAATTTTGTATCCCATTCTGCTGCTGGATGTTGCAGTATTTATGTGACTATTTTCTTTCACAGCATTCACTCCGAGTACAATTTGTGTCCATTCACTTTGACTGCAGAGTTAATTATCCACGCCTTCATCACTTCAAGGTTAGATCTGAAGCAAAGATTGTTTTAATCAACCTAGGAAATGAAAATGATGGAAAACACCGCAGTTAATTAATTAGGGGGTCAGGAGACTATTTCATCAGGGAACACAATCTCCAAACTTCCAGATCTCCATTGGTCATCTTGATTTTGAACAGGAAAATGTCACTTTCAGACTAGAGTCTGTAATAGCTGCGGAACTATTTTAAAGACCAGCTCATTCGATACTGGACTAGAATAGTTCCAGCCCACAGATATGCCTGAGCTGAAGCACCCATTGTATAAAAGAAGAGAAGCTCCCAGATTGTTTGCAAGACTCCCATAGAGTGTATTTGTACAAAATGAAGTCTACTGATCTACAGGTTTTCCTGTGAGCCTTTATTCAGATGTTTAGAGAGGTAGAAAGGGGAATAATAAAGGCAAGTACTTGTGCATAAAATTAAGTTATTTGTGTGGTTTTTGTTGCTGTTGTTGTTTTTTTCCAGAAATGGAACACCAACACTCCAAAATTATATATCTGCTTTTGTTTTTTTTTTCTATTTCTCTATTTTTAATTGATATTGAACATAAAATGAAAATAATTTTACATTAAATGTCTATGAAAGCTTTCTGAAATGGGAAAGCTTTTCATTATAATTAAAGATAATAATCTTTTTTTATCTTGCTATCTTTTAAATAAATTATTCTTCTAATGGTAATGCACTATCATTGTTAGTTATTCTGCTAGTATATTCCATCTGTCAATTAAAAATAATCCTCTCATTGCTTTGTAATAATAGCCTATCAAAGTAACTCAAGAGAGGAACCTTTCTGTGTATTAACATAGGTTAATAGGTTGCTCAAATTTTTGGATGTCTTAGTAAGTGTAGAGCTAACTATACATTATCCATGAGGACAAAATAAAACATATCCCTCTCAGGCCATGGAGAGTGGAGTGTCATTAGCCAGAAATCATTTTGTTTCAATTAGAATTGTCTAAGGACAATGAGTTGGGCTAAAGTATAGAAGATGCAGTTTTTCTACTGAGAACCTGGGTTTAAAGTCACAAAGGCTCCCAAACAGAAAAACAAGAGTGCAGACAACAGTTTTAAAGGACTGATGAGCTTTAAAGCCAGATGAAGGACTAAATAGCTAATATTTTTGAGTTTTTTTGTTTGTTTGTTTTTCTCCTCGTTTAGCTATTGTAATATCTGGTCAAAGAAAGCCAACTAGGAGGATTTTGAAGGAGAAAGAAATTTGTTTTCCTGAGGAAAAAAATGCATTCACAAAGATAATGGAGATGTTAGATACTGTACACTTTCAAGAGACTCTGAGCAAATCCTATAGGAGTGTCAATTTGTCTGAAGAGTAAAGGGATTATATTTGAGTGTTTACTGCTTTATTTAGAACTGCATATATTTTACGCTGTCTAATGAAATCTTTGCAGAGTATCACATGCACCTTATGTCCCAAGGATGATAAAGTGAGAATTGTCAAGTATGGAACTTTAAGAGGGGGTGCTTACTGATATTTTCCAAAGTACTTCAGAAGTCTATACTAACTCTGGGAACTCAGGGCCATCTAAAAGTGAGGTGCTATGGAGTACTAACAGACAGGAAGATGTCTGGAACAGTTTGGGAAAATGTCAGGGATGCCAAAGCAGGAGAGAGAACTGTACCCTACCCAGACTTAGGTCCAGCTGCTGAAATCCATACAAGTCTGGTGAGCGTCTGGAAGGAAGGTCTGATCAACACTGTGACACTTGGGATCCTAAATGGTGAACAAATAGTGGCCACCCTGACTAATAATAAGATTTCAAGCATGTGGTTGGAGAACTGCCAGGGACTGCAAATGGAGCAATAGTTCAGCCTAAAACAAGACTCAATTTCTTTTTAATTGCTTCTGGCATTACAGAATATAAAATTCATTGCCAATTCTAGGCTGAGGGTTTTTCATTTTGAGTACTGTCTAATAACAATATTTTATTTGGGAATGCAGAAGGATCCAGCATGTGACCTATGCAGACTCACTGAAGGAGCCAGTGTTGGCCACAGTTCTATAATAGTCTGTAATTGCTATGTGCTGAATTTGATGATAAAGTGCCAAAATAAAAGAAACATATATTAAAATGAGTTCACCATGTGTCCAAGCCAGCTAAATGCATTCTCTTAGAGCTGTTCATGAAAAGGGTGTTAGCCAAAGTGCATTAGCCAACCCGTTTGCATATGATAAAAAAGAATATGGAGTTAATCCTTTCCCAATACTACATGGCTGAATGGAAACAACAGGAAGACTTTGTGTTCCATTTCCTCCTAGATTACTCATAAAATAGTACAAAAACATATTGTCTTAATTCTGGAGAATAACATAGCTGGAATTTGCATTGTTATATGAAGGTTTATACATCCCATTTATCGGAGTGTTCAGCACTCAATTCCATAATGTTAATTGCTACCTGGAGTGTAGAAAACAACAGACTCTAAATGTTGATCCATGCCATAAGAGTACTGTGCAGCTATTGAACAGACACAACTGTACTGCATAGTGTTAGAAGGTACATGTGTTCAGACATGACCTGGAACAGGCCAATCTTAGTAATAGAAATATATATATATATATTCTTATGTCCAAAATAAATGCAAGGAATGAAAAGATTTGAACTATATTGTGATTTAAAATTCAGAAGTTAAGGCAAAATGTGTTGGACACTTTAATACAGAAGGAAGTTAAAATATTGTTAATACTAAAATCACACTCATTATGAATTAATAGCACAAAGCATGATATATCATGTCTGAAAAATGTTATTCTACTATTTAACTAGTTGTAAGTACTCTGACATTGGAAAATATTTTCGAAGGGACTGTCTTGTGTAAAATAATTTTCTCTGCTATGAGCATGCACTATCTAACATCCCTACCTATTAAGGTTTATTCTAAAATATATTTGCTTCTGCATATCAATAAGTCATACCTCAATACCTCATAGGCATCTTCCTGAGACTAGGGAACCTGGGAACTCTCCATGCTAAAAACACTTGATAGTCTGGCTATTCTTATAGAAGCTGTCAAGAGTACCAGTTTCATCGTGATTAAGGGGATATCTTGTTTGCTAGACTTATCAAAAACTTCAGAGTCTGGGTTGTTTTCAGTTTGTATATATGTGTATATAAACATATATAGAAAAATTCTGGCAAAATCCAGAAGCTGTAATTTCAAACTTCTGCCTCCTTGTTTCACTGAACGACTGTCTGGGGCTGCAACACAGTGCTGAGAAGGAAACTTTACAGCAGACAAAAGAAGGTTTATTTTAGCATACTGATAATTTATCAGGTGGAGTAATCTTACCATATGGCTGGTACTGAGTTGGAACATCAATCCCACCCCACTCCAATCCTTGTGCCCGCTTGTTTTCTTTACTCATCTCCTCTCTTTTCAGCAAAACAGTGGCCAGTGTTGTGAGAAAATCTAAAAATGATCTTCCCCATCCCACAGCCCATTAAGTCACCCACTGATGGAAAGGACAGTTTTCACCTCTTCTGCTTGAGAGTAAGAGGATCATTGGTCCCAGTCATAGAACTGATATATCATCAAGTCCCATAGACAGACTGATGCTCTCATTCAAGGAGCCTGCAACTTGCCTGCTTGATAAATGAACAGTATCCCAAAACAGCCCTTTCTACTTCTCATTGTTGTGATTGCCAAACAGCTTTAAATCTTTTCTCTGCCTTGAGAAGCTAAACAGAGTCATGCTTCTTAGAGAAAAGTTCTACGAAGGGCTTTACCCTGGGTGGAGGAGGGACAGGTTTCCTTTGATGTTTAGCAGCTGGCACTTTCCAGGTGGCTAAACTTCAAAGGCAAGTCTTAGGATTTTTCTCCAACCTGGTTCATCAGTTCTTTGTAGATAGCTAGACTCATTTAATGTTTCACTTTACTTGGAATGATAAATTGGAAGCCATAAACTCCAGATGGCCTTTTAAACATGTACTGTCCTTCCACCTGAAAGGGGCCTGGCTGCCTGCAGAGTGTTGATGAGGCAGGTGGCACCTCCTTCTGAATAGAAGGAATGTACTTTCAGCTCTGACCTCCCATGATCCCAGTAAGCTAACATTATGCCACGTGTGAAGCCTGAATGCCACTGTTTCCCTATCTTCCTGGACTGTTGTGATGCTGCATTTTTGAAGTGTAAAACCAATTTTCAGATCATCAGTAACCATACAAACCCAAATCATTGCCAGTTATTAAAAAAAATAAAAAAATAAAAAAATAAAGGCCTAAATTGCCTCTCCCAGGGATATTCACGTGAGCCACTGGCTATGGTTGTTCAGTTAAGAGTTGATAACCTGATTTGCTACAGAATCTTAGGGCTAAATGCTGCTCGTCTAAATTGTTTGAACTCTTATCCATCAAAGTGATGAAATCAGTGTTTCTACTGCCTTTGCCAGCAGTGAACATGGGCTAGGTGTTGCCTATTGTATGTATATGTGATGTACTTGGTAACATCTGTATAGCAAGTGTCTGTTTTCCCGATACTGAAGTTTTCTGACCAGCTCTTTCAGGATCAACATGGTGTGACATTATAGGAGTCAGGGTTTGAAGGTGAGCCTTGAGTTAACATGATGGTACAGTCCTCTCTACTATGAGATTTATGGGCCAGGTCTGCGTATCTCCTTGACTGTTCAACCTCTTAGGGATTCTCCTGACATGCAATTGGACTTCTTGTTTGATATGGTGAAAAGTCTTACTTTAAGAGGCAGAAAATACGTTTTATTCAACAAAGATCTCATCTCATGTAACTCAGTTTTTCTTCCTTTCTTTTTATTAAAAGTACAATCAACACAGTATTTCAGTTGCAGATCTCACCATCCTGAAACACTGAGAAATTTTAGAAATTAATGTAAATATTCCCTCTTTACTGTAGCCCAAAATGCAATGTTTAGATTTACCATGCAGTCTAACTACTCACGTAGTGCAGTTTCTTTTCTGCTACATTTTGTCACTCTACATAATGTTAATTCCTTTTCTGAGGCTGTCCATGAATGTTAAGTTGTAATTAATATCTACATCTGATAATACCAAACTACATTTGTTGTTACAAAGCGAAACTAATTTTTCCAAGCACCAACTGCACATTCGTCCATAATCTAACAATGAAGCTTGTGATACAATATTCTTAAAAACACAGCACATTCACAACACTTATGTTAGTCTCTAACATTCATAAATTGTCTTTTGTAAAGAGATACATAGGGCATTAGAGCACAGTAGTAGCAAACTCAATATTGTTAAAGCTGTGTCAAAATAACTTGTGAATATCCTGTTTAGCACATTTGACTGAATTAATTCTGGTTTTGTTCATGCAATCACAATAATAAATTGAATATAGCTAGAAGATACTTTTCTTCTGCCACCAAAAAGTGATTAAAAGAGATCCTGCCCTGTGCGCATGGGAGAAGAGTGTAGAGTATTTCTAATATGTAGTCTATATTTCTATGTTTATTCTATATATTTCTATTTCTATGTATATTCTATGTTTATAGGTGAGAGACTGTACAAGTTACTCAGGCATACAATTCTGTCTTTGCAGAATTAAAACTAAAGACATTTCTACAACCTCTTAAATGTGTCAAAGATGAGGTAGTTTAATTAACTGGTTAGCTACTGTTAGGTAATGCAGTGTTCCATCTTTCACTGATTTAATAAAAACAAAACTTCTTAAGACTTCTTAAGACTTAATACCTTAAAGCAAAAATGTCATATGAAAGCAATAATGTAATAAAAGAGATAAAAGATGCATGAGATAAGAACATGTTTATAATAGGAACAAAATGTGTATGGAGGTGATTAAAAAATCAGTCCTGGACTTGAGTTTACTGAATGCATCTTCCATTATTACTTATGTTTGAAATACTCATGCATATCTATATGAATGGCTTAATTATGGCTTATTATATCTATATAATGGCTTAAAGTGATTTTGAAATGTATGTATATTTAAATACTTTTTTTTTTTAATTCTCTTTCCAGCTGAGGTTTACCCCAAAATGTACCACACATGTTTTTTCCTGGTGACATACATGGCACCACTGTGTCTTATGGTGTTGGCTTATTTACAAATATTTCGAAAGTTGTGGTGTCGCCAGGTAAGTCACTTATACTAGCTCTGTTTATTGTTGTGGCTAGGTGTTGATTCCCATATGCACCTTTACCTATATGCTCCATGTGGTCACTTAAGATTGGATTTACATGGATTTTTACATTCAGCCCTGTCAACAGGTCTAGTGACACTGATGACTTACCATCACCTTGGATTGGAAGGGAGATACATTCAGAAACGAAGGCAGCCGGGCTCAATGTAAAACTCTTTGCTCATATCTATGAAAGGCTCCTAACAGGGAGAGAAGGAGAGGAAAAGGCAACAGAAAAATTGATTGTAGAGAGAGGAAAGACACTACGTCTGAAATGCTTACTGAAAGACCTTAGGTGATCATATTTGGTGACTGTGTGCTGCTGAAGTCTTCTGCAGCAATCAAAAGTTAAGATTGTCTTTCTCATTTTGTTAGTAGTTTGTACAATTGATTTTTTAAATTTATTTTTTATTCTGTAAAGTCTCTGTTTCATAACAGGTCCAGTCTGAACAAAAGTTGGAATAGAAAGTCCAACTATCAGAACTGAAAGATTGGAATTGTCTGATGGGAACCATGTGAACCTGGCTCTTTTCAGTAATGAGGTCCCTTCCAACATCAACCATTCTGTGGTTCTGAAATTTATAACATGAACATCTAGTTGTTCAAGTTTGACATTAACAATATATGAAAGAAAATGAAAATAGTAAACAACAGACCAAACACATAACCAAACACATAACATGAGAACTGAAGTGGCAAAAATGATTTGAATTTTTTATGAATGTTTTACCCCTCCAACATATGAACTGGTGTCAGCTTGTTTGAGAATCATATTCGGGGTGTTAGCAGTGCCATAATCTACTGTGAATCTATGTCTATGTCTATGGTCCTCTCTGATGTCTTCCACTTTGTCTGGGTTTTATCTATAGCTGTAGGCCTCCACCATCCTGTCCTGTCATTCTATAAAGGACAATAAACTCATCCTGTTGAAGAGATTATGCAACATATTCCTTGTCATCTCAAATTTTATTCCTCTCAAATGGCTGTAACAGTGGCTGACATTTCTTTCAGGATATGGGCATGAATCATTTTTCTTCCGCCATTATGTCTCATATCATCTGAATTTGAGGCTGTCCTGGCCAGTGTATATTATCTGCCACATCAGGAACATGTTCTACATGGTTCAAATTAAACCACTGTGGAAGTCCCAACTATGTTAAAAAATAAAAATCAAACCTTATATTGACAAAAAATATCTCATGAATAATTAAAACATGTGGAAAAATGACTTTATGATATTTTGATATTTGATCTTCAGAGTAGCAATTATTCTCACTTCTAAAGTAAAAATCTATCATTTGAACTTCAAATTATCATTTTTGCTTTTATCTTCTTACATTTATAAGACCAAATAAGAAGACAGTTTCAAGACAAAATTTTACCTTTGCAATTTGAGGGGACTCATCATGAGGAAAAAAAAAATAAATAAATAAAAAAGCTTTGCTGAGTTTCTTTTGAAATTAAGTTCAGTCTAACATAGCTCTAAGATCCTGTGTGTAATTATCTGTGACTCTGTCCTGTAGTGGCCAATGCTCTTATCACTGTATTCCTTAACTTTCTGTTTTTTACTTTCTTTACAATCCTCCAGTTATCTCAAATTGCCCATTAATTTATTTAATGCGAGTAATTGTTCTTAACATTCATGTAGCTTGAAAATGCTTGCTAAGGATCAAAGCAGAAGTTGAGTGGCTGAAAATTAAACAGTTTGGGGTCTGGGTGTTTGTTTTCAGTTGTGTTTTCTGTTTCATCTTCACAATATTTCTTTTCCTTATATATGTTGTACACTAACAAGTTCAGGGTAATTTGTTTTTATTTTTATTTTTTATGGAAAAAAAGACAAATACTTGTTAGTGCTGTCAGTGATATAAAATTACAGATGTCTTGTTTCCTAGCTTAGATGATAGCACTCTGTATAAAGGGCTGTAGTAAGTGAAATTAAAACCACATCTATTACAGAATCACAGAATTGTCTAGGTTGGAAGAAACCTCAAGATCATCAAGTCCAACCTCTAAAGTCCTCCACTAAACCATATCGCTAAGTTCAACATCTAAACATCTTTTAAAGAACTCCAGGGATGGGGACTCCACCACTTCCCTGGGCAACCCATTCCAATGCCTAACAACCCTTTCGGTAAAGAAGTTCTTACTAATATCCAACCTAAAACACCCCTGGCGCAACTTTAGCCCATTCCCCCTCGTCTTGTCACCAGGCACGTGGGAGAGTAGACCAACCCCCACCTCGCTACAGCCTCCTACAATGTATTTATAAAGAGCATTATCACCCCTGAGCCTCCTTTTCTTGAGGCTGAACAAACCCAGGTCCCTCAGCTGCTCCTCGTAGGACTTGTTCTCCAGACCCCTCACCAGCTTTGTTGCCCTTCTCTGTGCTCTTTCGAGCACCTCAATGTCCTTCGTGTAGCGAGGGGCCCAAAACTGAACACAGTACTCGAGGTGCAGCCTCATGAGAGCCGAGTACAGGGGGAGAGGGAGTACAGGGGGAGAATCACTTCCCTACACCTGCTGGCCACACTGTTTCTTATATGAGCCATGATGCTGCTGGCCTTCTTGGCCACCTGAGCACACTGCTGGCTCATATTCAGCAGACTATCAACCATCACTCCCAGGTCCTTCTCTGCCTGGCAGCTCTCCAACCATTCATCTCCCAGCCTGTAGCTCTGCTTGGGGTTATTGCGCCCCAGGTGTAGGACCCCACTTGGCCTTGTTGAACTTCATACAGTTGACCTCAACCCATTGGTCCAGCCTATCCAGATCCTCCTGCAGAGCCTTCCTACCCTCGAGCAGATCAACACACGCACCTAACTTGGTGTCATCTGTGAACTTACTGAGGGTGCACTTGATCCCCTCATTCAGATCATCGATAAAGATATTAAAGAGGACTGGCCCCAGTACCGAGCCCGGGTGAATGCCACTAGTGACCGGCCTCCAACTGGATTTGATTCCATTTACCACAACTCTTTGGGCCCGGCTATCCAGCCAGTTTTTAACCCAACAAAGTATATGCCAGTCCAAGCCATGAGCAGACAGTTTCTTGAGGAGAATGCTGGGGGAAATGGTGTCAAAAGCCTTGCTGAAGTCAAGGTAGACCACATCCACAGCCTTTTGCTCATCCACCAAGCACGTCACTTTGTCATAGAAGGAGATCAGGTTCGTTAAGCAGGACCTGCCTTTCATAAACCCATGCTGACTGGGCCTGATCACCTGGCTGCCCTGAAAGTGCCGCGTGATGACACTCAAGATAATCTGCTCCACGAGCTTCCCTGGCACCAAGGTCAGACTGACAGGCCTATAGTTTCCTGGGTCTGCCCCCCGGCCCTCCTTGTAGATGGGTGTCACGTTTGCCAGTTGACTGGGACCTCCCCTGATAGCCAGGACTGTTGATAAATGATGGTAAGAGGCTTGGCCAGCTCCTCCGCCAGTTCTCTCAGTATCCTCGGGTGGATCCCATCTGGCGCCATCGACTTGCATACATCCAAGTGCTATAGCAGGCCGCCAAACATTTCCTCATGGATAGTGAGGGCCACATTCTGCTCTCCATCTCCTTCCACCAGTTCAGGGTACTGGGTATCCAGAGAACAACTGGTTTTGCTGCTAAAGACTGAGGCAAAGAAGGCATTAAACACCTTCACCTTTTCCTCATCTTTTGTAACTTATTTCCACCCCTGCATCCAATAAAGGCTGGAAATTCTCCTTAGTCCTCCGTTTTGCATTGATGTATTTGTAAAAACATTTTTTTGTTGTCTTTGACAGCAGTCACCAGATTGAGCTCCAGATGAGCTTTGGCCTTTCTAATTTTGTCCCTGCACTGCCTCACAACATCCTTATAGTCCACCCGAGTGGCCTGCCCTCTTTTCCAAAGAGTGTAAACCCTCTTTTTCCTGCTAAGCTCAAGCCACAACTCTTTGTTCAGCCAGGCTGGTCTTCTTTCGCACTGGCTCGTCTTTGGGCATGTGGGGACAGACTGCTCCTGCGCCATTAAGATTTCCTTCTTGAAGAGTGCCCAGCCTTCCTGGACTCCTCTGCCCCTCAGAACTGCCTCTCAAGGGACTCTATCAACCAGTGTCCTGAACAGTTCAAAGCTGGCCCTCCGGAAGTCCAATAAAGAGGTTTTACTGGTTCCTTTCCTGGCTTCTCCAAGAATGGAGAACTCTACCATTTCATGGTCACTCTGCCCAAGACAGCTTCTGACCACCACATCTCCCACCAGTCCTTCTCTGTTTGTGAAGAGAAGGTCTAGCGGGGCACCTCCCCTGGTAGGCTCACTAACCAGCTGTGACAGGAAGCTATCTTCCATGCTCTCCAGAAACCTCCTAGACTGCTTTTTCTGGGCTGTGTTGTGCTTCCAGGATATATCTGGGAAGTTGAATTTCCCCACAAGAACAAGTGCTGATGATTTTGCAACTTTTGTCAGCTGCCTGTAGAACTCCTCATCCATCTCCTCATCCTGGTTCGGCGGTCTATAACAGACCCCCACCAGGATGCTTCCCTTGTTGGCCTTCCTGCTGATCCTAACCCATAGGGACTCAACCTTATCATTCCCAGCCTCAAGTTCCACGACATCAAAGCTCTCTCTGATATAGAGAGCACACCACCACCCCTTCCATGTTGCCTGTCCCTTCTGAAGAGCCTATAGCCAGACATTGCAGCACTCCAGTCATGAGAGTGGTCCCACTACATTTCCATGATGACAATCAAGTCATAGCCTGCCTGCCGCACGATGGCTTCCAGCTCCTCCTGTTTGTTACCCATGCTGCATGCATTAGTGTAGATGCACTTCAGCTGGGCCATTGCCTTCTCTCCCAGCCTTGCCATTATTTCCCCGGCACAGCTCTAACAAGCCTTATTTCAGCCCCATCCCCCTTCTTACCTAGTTTAAAGCCCTCTCAATGAGCCCTGCCAGCTCCTGGCCTAGGATCCATTTTCCCTTTAGAGATAGG